AATTTAAAAATTTTTTTAATTAAAAAAAAAAAAAGGGAAAGACATTCTGACACGTACTACAACACAGATGAACCTTGAGGACATTATGCTCAGTGAAATAAGCCAGACGCAAAAAGACAAAGACTGTAGGAGTCCACTCGTATAAGGCATCTAGAGGAGTCAAATTCATAGAGACAGAAAGTAGAATGGCACTTGCCAAGAGCCGGGGCGATTTAAAAACTCTTAAGTACAGAATCAAATGCTAAGTGATAAGAAGGCATGCTCTCCCACTTTCTCCTGCAATCCATTCACAGAGCAATCACAGGAATTCTTTAAAAACACAAACCACACTCTGCTGCTCAAACCATTCAATGGCTTCCCACTGCACTTGGAGCAAAAACCGAGTCCTCACCGTGTTCTATAGAGCCAACGTCTGCCTCTCCAGGTTACGGTATGCCACTCCGGGCAATAGCCACACCAGCCCTCGGACGGTTCCTAAGACATCCTAAGCTCTAGCTTGCCTTCAGCCACTTGCAATTGCTTAAGCCTAGAAGCAATTTTTCTAATTCTTGGCATGGCTGGTTCTTTCCCTGCCTTCCATTCTCAGCTTAAATGTCACCTCCTCCTACGGGACTTCCCTGATGGCTTTAGCTAGCACTCTCCTCCCCTCCAAGCTCATGGACACCGCAGCCTTCCAATCGCATGCTTCAGGCACTCCACATGGTCTGCCGTCACATGATGTATTTCTTACTTACTGTCTCGCTTATTATCTGTTTCCCTAGTAGAACGGAAGCTCCGTTGAGAAAACCACATCTATCTTGTTCACTGGCGTATCTCCAGCACCGAGCGTAGGGCCAGGAGCATAACAGCCCCGTACGTATTCAACAACGGGAAAGAGTAATACACGCAATCAAGACAGGCGAAGTATAAAAGCCACACAGAAGAATGTTTAACTGAATATTCAAAGGCCAGACGGTGTTTCAGACTTGATATCAGGTCCCCTTCAGATATCCACTCATTGAACAGATGCTCATCGAGCACCACAGTAAACTCAACAGCCCCTGCTGTCACGGCGCTCAGATTCTAGCAAAGACCAAAAGAACAGCCAAACGGACAAAAAGGATGCCAGGTGGCTACAAGCACCCTTAGAGAAAAATTAAGCACGGGAGGGATAGCAGGGCACGCTGGGGAGAGGGCGCTGCGATTTTTAGAGAAGGTGGGTGGAAAAGCCTCTCTGGTAAACGGGGCTTCTGCAAGCACGAAGGAAGAGAGGAAGCGAACCAGGTGGGTGTCTGGGAAGTATGAGGGGGCTTGTGAGTGGCTCATGCTGGAGGTCAGCAAGACTTGTGGGGCTGGAGCAGAACGAGCCAGAGGGAAACAGCAGACGGTGAGTTCAGAGGCATGAAGGGGCCTCATGAGCCACGGTGAAAGCACTGGCACTGGGAAGCCACCAGGGGGTTCTGATCAGAGAAGTGACATGATTCAACTTATATCTGAAAATTATTATTTTGGCTGCTACAGAGAATCGGCTGTAGGG